CCGCGCCTGGGGAAGGCAATGGGGCTGCCAAACTTCCTCAGCCAGCGTTCCTGGGCTTTCTCTCCCACTGGCCAGCTTCTCAGGGTCACTCGGGTAGGGACACAGCGGCGCTGGGCTCGGCACAGCTGGTGGGGCAGGGGGCGGAGAGAGAGGTCTGGGCCCTGGGGCACACCAGACGCTGAGACTGGAGCCTCCTGTCCTCTTTGGGGCCTGGTGGCCAGCAGAGCTGTATGAGGCAGGGTCGGGGGCCGCAGGAGAAAGACGAGCGTGCAAGGATCTGATACGGGCTCAGGGATTAAGGCCTCTTGCACAGAGCACGGGGGTCCTGGTCACCAGTCAGCATGGCTAGTGGGAAGGGATGGCAGGGTGGTCAGCCAGAGGCGCTTCTACAAGCCTCACTATGCCACCTGCTCCCTCTGAGTCTGGGGGTTAATCCCCGCCATGCCCAGGCCTCCCCCAGGGGCAGTCCTGGGGTCCAGAACGGGCTTCTGTTCCTGCTGCAGATGAAGGTGAGGGCGCCCCAGGGCTGGCTGGTTCCCTGCCCAGTGAAAGGGGCTGCAACACTAGTAGCCTTTGTGGCTTCCCCGTCCCACTGCAGGTTTGGGGGAGCCAGGCCCCCAAAGGCCCTGGTGTTCCCGGACCAGCCGGGGAGAAAGGCTGGGCCCTCCAGTGGGAGCCAGCATGCAGCAGGGGTGCAGGGCCACCCCACCTGTGTCCCACCCAAAGCCCTCCCAGCATTGCCAGGCCCCGGGGCTCGGGGTGAGCAGAGGGCCTTGGGAGAGCAGCACGAGGCTGTGGCCCCGCCCCTCGGGCCTGGGAGGTGAGGGCCCGCCTGGCAGGGTCCTAGGCTCTGCCGCCCCTTGGAGCCCAAGGGGCAGAGCTGGGCTTGTTTCTTCCTGCTGTTTGCGTGTGGCCCCCTCACGCCCCACGTGGCAAGTGGGGTCCCAGTGGCTGCCGGCCATGCTGGCAGGGGTGGGAGAGCGTGCATTCAGCAGTAACTGAGGACAATTAAAAAGAAAAAAAGCTCTCCCACCTCTAACCTTCAACTCTATGATGCCTTACGAATTCTACTCACATGGCACCTCACTTCCAGATAAGTTAGATAAGTTAACGCCTTTTACATGAAGCACCAGGTGGGTGCAGCCACCAGGCAGGGCTTCCCTGGCTGCGTTTCTGTTTGAAAAATGGCCATGGCGGTGCATTAAAATGGAAAAACGACAAAACCATTCCATGCGACCGCAGCTTCTAACTGCCCGCATCAATGTCTCGCGCTGAAGACAAAACAAAGCTCAGCCGGCCGTTCCAGGGGCCAGGGCGTGTTGCTGAGAATCTGATGCTGTGATGGGTGGGGTCCCCAGGAAAGGGAGGGGGCCACGGCTTGGCTGTCAAGTGACACATGCCATACAAATGCCACACAGTGGGGTGACACTTGGCATTTCACAGGCAAAGCCCCCCTCCCTGGCCTGTCCCCCTCCCGGCCCCTAAAACCCATCTGTGCCCTGTGACACAGTACAGTTTAGCTACACAGTCAGCCATTGAAATCTGATTTTAGCAGGATAGAGTAACAATTTTTTAAATGAAAAGGAGAAATTCTTCCACAGAACTGAATTACGTCTCTCCCCCACTGCCCACCCAAGTTTACTCTGCTTACAGAAAAGAAGAAGATCTTCCCACAAATGGCCAATTGTGTGGGAATGGCCACCCTGCTGGGTCGTCCAGGCCGGTGGTAGATTCACCCGGCCCCTTGCCTTCTTCTGGCCCGACTCCGCTTCAGATCACAACTCAGACGGCTCTCCTTCGGCTGGGCCGTGAGAGGGCTGCGTTGCTGGGTCAGAAAACCCATCTAGACCCAGAAGATACATTTTACCCCATTTGGGCAGTGGCAACTTTTTGCATTTCTTTTGGAATCAGAAGTTTTGGGATTCGAAACGTTTTCTTGACTGTGTGCTGAATGATGCTCTGGCTGAGAGAGACAGAGAGAGAGAGAGTGACAGAGCGGCACAGGGCAGGAGACAGAGCTATAGGATAATACAAGGCTTCTTGTCCTTAAAGGGGTTCTCGGAGGCTGGGACTCCGACCAGCAGCGGGTCGTTCCGGGCGTGCTGCTCACAGTAACTCATGAGTTCGGAGGAGGCTTTGGAGACCTGTGTATGGGCACAAGCACGAGAGAGGGAGGGTGAGAAGGGCTGACAGACGCACGCCCACAGCAGCGTGGCGCACACCGCCAGGCGCAGGAAGACTCTGCCCGTGCCCCTCAGCTGCAGAGCGGACTCACACACGTGTCCACCCACATGTGGAGCATTACCCAGAGACAGAAAGGAGCGGAGCCCTGACACACGCCACACATGGATGGACCCTGAACACACAGAGCTCGGTGAGATGCCAGACACAAAAGGCCACACGGTGTGACCCCATTTCTGTCACACGTCCACAACAGGCGGATCCACAGATAGGACGTGGGCTTGTGGGTGCCAGGGTCCTGAGGAAGGGGGTGGGGGTGACTGCTCAAGGGGACAGGGTTTAATTTGGGGAGCTGGCATGTTCTGGAACTAGAGAGAGTTGATGGTGGCATAGTTCTGGGAATGGCCTAAATATCACTGATGGTAAGTTTTATGTTCTGTGTATTTTGCCACTATTTAAGGAGAGGAAGGAGAGGCTATGGCCCCCTCAGCAGGCGTCTCCCAGACTGTGATCAAGGGCTCAGGGAGAGCAGTGCCCTCCTCAGGGTCCAGTCTGGCTCCGGCCTGGCCAGCAAAGGACCGCAGAGGTGCACGGGCAGGAGGGAGGCCGCAGAACAGGCCCTGTGCATTGGCCGCTGTGGTCTGCACCAGCGGGGTCTCGCTGGCCCGGCGAGGGGGCTGACTCCTAGACACACCTGCATCAGAGTCCCTGAAAGACGAGGGCTGAGATTCAGGGAGGGGCCCCCGTAGCCCCTGGAAAAGCTGATGTGGGGAAAAGGGGTGCTTAGTGCCCAGGGAGCTGGGGGGTCACAGATCAAGGGTGCCACCTGGTCAGCTGCAGCAACCCCTCAGCCACATGCCTCACGCTCCTGGTGCTGCATTGGGAATGGGTGGGGGTGCGGCTGCTCTCTGCGCACCCCAGCAGGGCTGGGTTTCAAGTGTCCCAAGCCAGGGCGAGTGGGAGTCCCTGGACCTCCTCCCCGGGGGGCTCAGCCCTCGGTTCCTCACCTCTGTGGCTACGAGGCAGTGGTACCATGCAGGGGAAATTGCGAGGGTAGACAGGGCAGGAGTGACAGAGGCTTTGAAGGTAGCCATGTCTGTGGCCTGGGGGGGCCCCTGTGGCCTAGACCTTGCACCCCTGAACGATAAGGACACCCGGTGCTTCTGAGTCTGCACCTTGCCTCCAGGTTTGGCCTGCACGGCGCTCCTCCCCACCGTCGAGAGCACGCTGGCCGCTCGCGGGACCACTGCCTTTGAGGAGTCCACCCAGCTTGGTTTCCAGAGTTCTATTTGGAAAGCAACCCTCCCAGATGACAAAAATAGTCTCTGGACCCTGCAAATAGCTGATGCTGTGGCTCCAGCATGTGGCCCCAAAGCCCGGCATTGGCAGGAGTGCCGGGGCCGCCCCTGTGCCCGCCGTGCTGCCCTTGGCCAGGCCTCGGCCGGGTTGGCCTTGCAGCTGGGCCCACATTCTGCTGCTCTGGTCGCCCACCTGGGGGGACAGAAACCTCAGGCGGGACTTGGGGGGAGAGCGGGTCAGGTCCCGCCTCCCCCCCTCCCGCCTTTCAGAGGCGGCCGGACTCCTCCAGAACTTCAAACGGGCGGATGAATCACGGCTCTCCGTCGGGCTCGGGGTGGCAGCAGCCGGCTGAGGGGAAACCACTTCAACCAGGGCTTTCTCTTTCTTCACCCGCAGGGGAGTTGTGAGTGCTCAGAGTTCTGGAACATCCAGACACCTCGTGGGAGGCACGCAGCCCCCACACACCTGGAGGCGGCCGGACATGTGTGTCTACACCAGGGGCCGGGCCACCCCTTCACGATGAGTCCCTAAGGCCAGTGCTGATGGGGGGATGAGAGGTGCTCGGGAAACTGAGGTGTGAGCCAATACTCTAGATGTCTTCATGAAGACTTTTTAAAGATGGGACTAACGTTTAAATGGTTGACCTTGAGTAGAGCAGATGACCCGCCATGACACGGGTGGGCCACACCTGATCAGTGAAAAGACTGTGGTCCCTCAAGGAAGGGATTCGAGGCCTTGGGACTGAGCCGCAGCATCAGCTCTTCCCGGGGTCCCTGGCCTGCCCTGCAGATCTCGGACTTGTCAGTCCCACAATCACGTGGGCCGACTCCTTGGAATCTCCTCCCTCTACGTACGCACAAACCCTACTGGCTCTGTTTCCCTGGCGGACCCTGGCTGACCCAGTGAGTAGCTGGCAGGGCAAGCGTGGACGTGTAAGCCACCTGGGTCTTCCAGAGACCGTGCCCCTCACCTGGCCCCCCGTCAGCTGGGGTCTAGGGCAGGCGACAGCCTCCCTGAGGCCACTTGTCATCCTTTGCAAAGTGGACATGAGGTTGGGGAGAAAGTGGCTTTGAAAAGTGTCAGGCACCCTCTTGGGTAAGAGGCCATGCATGCCTGGCCTACTGGTCTGCACGATGAAAGGGGGAAACTTGTGAGTCCTGGGTATCATCCTGATGTCCCTCGTGGACTTCAAATTTGTCTACATCCATACACTGGAATATCACACAGCCACAAAAAGGGGCAGAGCCCTGACCGCACTACATGTGGACGGACCCTGACCACACGGTGCTCAGTGAGATGCCCAAGGCCACATGGTGTGTGACCCCATTTGTGTGACACGTCCACAATAGGCAGATCCACAGACAGAACGTGGGCTGGGGAGGGGTTGGTGGGGTGACTGCTCATGGGGACAGGGTTGCTGTAGGGGTGATGGAATGTTCTGGAACTGGACAGAGGTGGTGGTTGCACAACAGTGAATGTGCCAAATACCACTCACTTGGGCACTTCAAAATGAATGGCTAACTTCATGTCATGCAAATTATTAAAAAAAGTCTGTCTGCAAGCTGAGTGCCCACCTGTGCACCGTCTTATTTGCTTTGCTTGTTCCTGACTTCTGACAAGCAAGTGTCTGAGAGCAGGAACTGGCTGCCCTTTCTCTTTCTTTAGCATAAAAAGCAAACACACTTACTTAAATGAATTCAAACAACACAGAAGTGAAGAGAGCTGACAGTGAAGAGCCCTGTGTCCCCCTTCCTGGAGCACGCGGCTACCTTCTATCTGCATGTGTCAGCTCCTGGGGGGCCGGACATGGCTCTGCAGAAGAGGGCCAGAAGAGATGCCCCCGCCCCACGCTGGCCCTTTTGGCAGGGCCTGCAGTGGCCTTCACTGGGGCTCTGCAGGGAAGGACCTCCAGGGCTGGGGACTGGTGCAGCCCTGACACTGGGCCCACTGCATTTAAAAAGCACTGCACCCCATCAGGAATTCCCACGATGCAGGTTTACATCAGCTGTGTCTTTTCACTGGGAAAACTATGGTCCCGAGAGGTCAGGTGAGTGGCCCAAGGTCACACAGCAAGAGGCAGAGCTGAGCACAAACCGGCCTTCCTGCCAAGCCTCCAGGCCCAGGGGCTCTGCGTCCTTCACCTGCCGTCTGCCTGGCTCACCTTGATGCGCTCTATCCCGGCTTCGATGCGAAGTTGCTCCACCAGCTTCCGGGCCTGGGCTATGTTGTTAGTGGCTGACATTGTCTGCCATCAGCTCTGGGCCACCGACGTCCAGGAAGCTGCGGGGGGAAGCAGAGGATGTGAATGGGCTCTGAAGGCCCCAGGCTGGCAGGTGCAGGACAGGGAGGTAGGATGTCCCCTTCAGGAAACCCCTGCTGCCAGGATGCCGGAGTCTCCCGGTCCTGGTCCCACGGTTGGGGCGGGAGGTCCAGCTGAGCCCACCGTCTCCCACAGTCCCCTCCTGTGGCCAACTGGGGGTAAGTGCTTGCTGTTTGCGACCATCTAGGGCTCAGGAGAGTTCATGAAACCTATGAATTGGCTCCAGGTGTTCCGTGCTGACATCCGGGCCAGGTGTTTCTCCCAATGCCAGGGTTGAGGAGCGGGGAGTGGACAGAGCCTGAGTTCAGGAGTCCAGGAAGCGGGTGGGGCTGGGCAGACCTTTGGCCAGACAATTGAGGAGCTCTCTGCTTCTGCCACATGCATTGTACCACTGTCTGTGTGGGAGGCAGCAGAGCCAGGCCGCTGCAGAAAAATAAAAGGCAGGCTGCAGATTTCCAAGAACTGCCTACTTTGCGGCGAGAGTGTATGGACCGTGGATACCACGGCACCCTGGGTGGATCTGCAGGCAGCTCTGCCGAGTGGAAGAAGCCAGTTCCCAGAGGGGACGTGCTGCGTGGTTCCGTTCATAGCACATCTTTGAGATGACAGAATTGTGACATAGAGGATAGATTCTGGTTGCCAGGGGGTAGGTGCAGGCCTGGCAGGGAGGGAGGAGTTTGGGTAGAAAAGGGCGGGTTCTTGCTGGAAATGATGAACATGCTGGCGGTGGAGGCGGACCTGCACACCTGCACCGGTGATAAATGTCACATGCACACAGCGACACTGCAGGACTCTGACGGAGGGTGGGGGGGTGGGTCAACACCCATATCCTGGGGGTGCAAAGGGCCTACTTTGACAAAATGTTACCACTGGGGAAAATGGAGTGAATGGTGCAGGGGTTTCTCTCTGTGATCTGTTACAACTGCATGTGACTCTAGGGCAATCTCCACAGAAGTTTCAATATTAAAACCCACCACCACCAACCCTTCCACCCCAGCAGACATCCAGCCCCTGTCTGGGTCAGAAAAGGCCTGTGTGTCGGCTTTGGGAACGCAGAGCCTGAGTGCAGGCTCCCAGAGGACTCTGAGTCAGCACAGAGCTTCAAAGCAGCCACAGAACATCCAACTCAGGGAAAACCGCCCTTGGATCGACTTAAAAATACCTAAATTACTCAGTGCTAAATATAGGCGCGTCCAGAGAACAAACGGGCTGGCCCCACGGTGTATTTTCCTTGGAAGACAGAGCAGTCCTGGGCAGCACCCACACTCAGAGCTGTCCACCAGGATCCCAGGACCCCGGCCACCCTGGGCAGCCGGCCCCAACTGCGGCCTCCCCCCTAAGCATTAAGCCCAAAGCGCTGCTGGCTCCTGTTCAGGTGTGATGCCACGAGAGGCTCCCGCTGGACTGGATTATCACCCAGGCCCCCCAGAGGAGCCAGAGAAGGCTGCACTGGGGTGTGTGTGTGTGTTTGTGAGTGTGAATGTTTGTATGTGTGAATGTGCACATGTCTGTATGCATGTTTGCATGTGTCTGTAGGTATGTGTGCATATGAACGCCTGTGTGTATACATACAAGCACATGAGCAAGCATGGAGATGTGAGTGTCTGTGCATATGTGTGCTTATGTGAGTGGGCCTGACTGCACATGCACATATGTATGTGCGTGTGAGTGTACATGTGTGTGCACATGCCAGTGTGTGTGCATGTGTACCCGGTGTGTGCGTGCCGAGATGCCCAGACCAGACATTGGTTGCATCACCACAGCCCATGCAGCAGACTCGAGCCCTCATTCTGGCTGATGTCACAGCCTGTCACTGACTCACGGACCTGCCGTGGCCCTGGGACGGGGCTCCCCCAGTGGAGCAGGCAGAGGCGCTGAGTCATCTTAGAGAACAGTCCTCTGCAAGCGGCGCGTGACAGCACCACGCACCCGACCTGGCTGGACCTGCCCGGGCCCAGCAGAGCCTCAGCAGGCCCCAGAAGCCCGCCAGGGCCTTGGGAAGCTGGGGGAGAGGTGGGCAGCTCCAGGAGGGAGGGGTAAGGCGGCACTTCCTCAGTGGCGGTCTGTGAGAAGGCAGAATGGGGGGACACACCCAGCTGAGGCCGTTGGGGTCGGGTCCTATTCTACGGGGGTCCGTCCTGGGCACCGCGGGGCTGAGCAGCACTCCTGGGCCCCAACCCCTCGGTGCTGGGATCACCCCCAGTGTGGCGAGCACACGTGTCCCCAGATGGCGGCCAGTGTCTCCTGGGGCAGAACTACCCTTGGGGAAGATCGGACCTGGTATTTCACAGCCAAAGAGATTCCAGGTGAGGAGCCGTGGGAGGAAAGGAAAACATATGCAAACCAGTAAAACCGCACGGAACACTTATTCTCTATCACAGGCAAGTTACATCCGAGCAACTGGAGCCTACAGGGTGAACTGGGATCAATGGCCATGGTCATGGGCAAATATGTAAAACTTCCCGAGCAACACTAATGAAGCTACAGACCAGGACCGCTGACCCCGGGAGAACCCTGGGGACACATACACTGGGGGGTGACCCCTTCTGCCTCGGCCGGGTCCTGCTGGAATACAGAGCAAAGGACTCGTCCAGGCAGGTCACACAAGAAGTAACTTCACTGGTAAAAAACAAAGGGATCAGAGCGCGGCCTCATTAGCAGTGGAAGAAAGCAGGACGGAAGCACTGCGAGCAGCCGCCTCCCCTGCCCACGACACCAGGAAGGCCGGGGGCCCCCGCATGGTGGGGCTGCGATATGCTCGCTGCTGACTCTCTGGCCTGCTAAATCCATCTCTGCCCCAAAAACTGGACATCCAGAGCTGCGAGGCTGCCCTCTCAAATCCGTCGCTTGGGCATTTATCCCAAGGAGGAAAAAAAAATTTTTTAATTAAAAATAATTTTTTAAAATAGATTTAGAAGGTGTTTCCAACTGTCGTAGTTGTTACAGCGAAGAACTAGAATGAACCACAATTCCGCAATGGGGCAGCAGCTAATTCAATGGGACAGGTCCCTGGTGGGACACTGTGCGGCCGTTACAGATGCTACATGACCCAGAGCCGCGCGCAGGAGGCACGCGTGCAGGAGGGGCGGTGTGGGTCGTTTACCACCGTATTGAAATACGTGTGGGTAAAAGCAGAAAGGGGGCCTCAGCGAGGCCGTTTTGCCAGTGACCGTTCTCCTACTCTCCTTCAATGAGGCGCCTTTCATGGAGGCAGAGTGCGGGGCATGCAGTCTGTGAGAGCTCACATACCCAGATGACCCTGCAGCTGACACCGTGGCGATGCGGGGCGGAAGAACGCGATCTCCCTGAGATGCTGCCCTGTGTTGTCTCTTTGCAGCCAGTCCCTGCCACCCGTGGGCTCCGGAACCGTGGGTTCTTTCTCCGGAAAGTCTACAGACGGAGCCGTCCGGGTAGAGTCTGGCTTCTTTCACTTAGCACGATGCCTCTGCTGTTCACCTTGCCGGGGGACCGTCGGTCACATGTTCCTCTTCGCTGCTGCAGGGCATTCTGTCGCGGGGACAGACCACGGGTTGCTGACCCATCCACCACACGGGTGACATCCAGGTGGCCTCCAGTGTTTGGCGATTCTGAATAGAGCTGCGGCTTTCTCGGGAGTCTAAGTTTCCCTTTCTCTTAGGGACATCCCTGGGCGTGGGACTGCTGGCTTCCGGGACAGGTGCATGTGCAACTTTACACGTGAAACACTTTCTAGTTCCCAAAGCCACTGCACTATTCTGTATTTTGAACGATCACAGACAGACTCACAGGCAGCGGCAAAACAGTACAGTGTCCCATGCGGCCTCCATCTAGCATCCCCCAGCGGTGACACCGTATGTGACTGTGGGACACTATCAGGCCAGGACACTGACACTGGCCCTGTGCTGTGCCACGCACAGGTCCCGCCAGCCCTCCCACAGCTCGTGTATGTAGAAGGGACTGCTGTCACCACTGGCCCCTCTGGGAAGTGTGGCCTAATCCACACCTGTCCCGCCACCAGCCTAAGTGCCAAGCCCCTCACAGAGCCAGGGCACCTGCCCGCAGGACTGTCCCCAGGCTGCCAGGAACTCCACTGGGCAGAGGAGGCTTAGCACCCATGCTTGCTGAGAGGATGGATGGACAGATGCCAGTGACAAAGTGTGACAAAATTGGTGGCAGTTATCAGTGGAGAAGCGGAGGGCTCACGTCTGCGAAGCTGCAAGGTGGCAGAACGCTCAGGCCTGTTGAATCCCAGAGGCGTGTGCGCAACCGTGGGGAAGCTCCACTCGCCACTGGCCGGGGTCTCCCCCGCACTGTGCACACCGGGGCTGGGTCCTTCTCCAAGGGGCTCTCCTGGGCACCACGGGCGGTTGGGCGGCATCCTAGTCCCCCACCTGCTCTATGCCAGAGGCACCCCCAGCTGTGAAAGCTACAGATGTCCCCAGACCTTGCCCAGTATCTCCTGGGGGCAGAATCTACAGTCTTTATGGAACTCTCTGATCAGAAGAAACTGTGATTAAAAGAGGCTCATTTAGGCAAAACACAAACACATTTTTGGAACTGAAATGGTTATGATTTAAAAGAGAAGCTGTTGCACAAGGGGGATGAGTTTTCTTAGCAGCCAGCAACACTCTCTGGCTGAAGTCACACAGGGCCAGGGATTCCCCTGGAACTCAACTGACAACACACCTGGGGAGTGAGAGGCCATGGCTCCTGGGAGGAGGGGCAGGGGGCAGAGCCGCCGTGAAGGGGCAGACCCGGGTTGTGCACAGATCCCCCCAGCTGTGTGGCTTTGGGATAGTTACTGCCCATCTCTGAGCCCTGGTGAGCTCTGCTGGAATGCTCAGAGCACCACTTCCTTTCTGTGCCAGGCCTGGCAAACCTCCAGCTCCCCGAGTTCCCAAGCCAAGGAACAGAGCCCAGAGCCCAACAGCCATGGAGAGTGCCCAATTTGAGGGGCTTGTGGCAACTGCTAAATATAAGC